TAAGTAGTGGAGTAAATTACTGAGACCAGAAACATGTACTTAAAGTATTTGTACTCCACTCCTTCCCATCTCTCAGTTGTTTACCTGCGTGCTGCAGGTTGGCGGCGCTCTTCTTCACTTCGTCCTGAGAGCGTCCGTCAGTGATGGCCACCACCACTTTCGGGACGTTCCTCCTCATCCCGTTCTCCATGGAGAAGGCTTTCTCATAGGTGTGTTTCAGAGCCATGCCTGTTGAAGGAACAGAGGAACACTGAGTCAGTTGTATTTGCTTTATGTCCTATGTATATATGTTGCACTGTTGGAGGAGCCTGGGACTTGTCATTGATACGTCTACACTGTAGTTTCTGTACACATGACGATAAAGCCTTGAATCTTGGAACCTGTCTTGGTGTTTCCTCCTCGGTAGTGGATCTGATTGATAGCCGACATGGCGATGCCTTTGTCTCTGTAAGCGTTCAGCCTGAACTCCGTCTTCGCCTCGTCGCTGTACTGCACAAAGGACACCTGGGTGGAGGAGTCACAGGAAGTCAGGACACATACAGTCAGATATACACAAGTGGAGTTATTAAGAACTACAAGTCCCACGTTAAGACAGGACCGTGGAAAGAGGACCCCATTAGCATTTTTGTCATTTGGACTTCACGTATTGTACATTTATGATCTTTTTAATCTAAACACTTATTGCTCATCTGTCGTCCTGTGAGAGGCATCCTCTTCTGTTACTCTCCACGAAGTTTACAGCTTTAATTGTGTGGTTTCTTTGTTTGTTTTTAATAATGAGCTGGATAAATAACATTTGATTTGATCTGTCTTGCTTTTCGAAGAACTACAAGTCTCACGTTAGGAAAGGACAGTTGAAGTAGACGTCCAAAAGAAAGAACTACAAGTCCCACGTTAGGAAAGGACAGTTGAAGTAGACGTCCAAAAGAAAGAACTACAAGTCTCACGTTAGGAAAGGACAGTTGTTCTCCCTGAAGTTCACAGCTTTTTTCCCCGTTAATTGTGTGGTTTCTTTGGGATTTCTTGTAATATTGGGCTTTATAAATACAATTTGATTTGATCTGTCTTGCTATTAGCTGAAAACACAGACCTGCATCCCTGTGGGTCCGACCATATCGAAGGCAGAGACCATGCCGGAGACAAAGTGCACGACTTTCCGGAAGCTCTCTTCTCCGATGCTCCACGATCCGTCGATGAGGAACACCACATCTGCTTTGGCCCCTTTGCAAACTGAGGCGAGAACAAAACAAGTCGATGAGGATCACACACACACACACATACACACACACACACACACACACACACACACACACACACACACACACACACACACACACACACACACACACACACACACACACACAGAGAGAGAGAGAGAATGGCATCCTCACACGGCATCATTATTGTTTGTGAGCTGCAGAGCATTAAAAAGAATCTGCTGAAAGCATGCAACGCAACATATGATTGAGGAGGACGACGGGGAGGGGGTCCATGTTTAGTAATTAGGGGCTTCTCTGATACCAATATAAAAACACTGGGGATCAAAACAAGCCACATTTGGTCTCCAGAAGGTAAAGTCGTTAATGGGTTCCTCTCAGAGGAATTGGGCAAAAGGCTGTGATTAATCTGTGCCTCATGTGGAGCCGCACAGTGATCTCCTTTATGTTCTTCCTCCGGGTCGGACATTTGTCTACAAGTCTTACACAGAAGCAAGACTCAAACAGGTTCCCTGGACGGAGCTATCCTGCGTTTAACAGTGTGTGTTCTCCCTGCAAACACGTGGCAGGGGTTCATTCACCGCTGGCATGAATCCGAGACAGCGTTCAAACCGTCGACTCGGCCAGAACGCTGCAACGAGGGGTTTCTAATCGAATGCAGAGACTAGATCTGTCCAGTTCTGAAGAGGATTCAGAGTTTCCTCAAAGACTCGTTGGCATTTTACTCAAGCATTCAATTCAATTCCTTTATTTATTCAGGTGAAAACCCATTGAGATCATTGACCTCTTTTTCAATGGTGACCTGCTGCAAGTAGGTTCCAACATGAATACAAACATGACAGAAAAACAAAGAGGACATCCTATGGCATATTTACATTGACTCCAGTTTGTATAGCGAGTAGCATTTACAGATACCAACAGTTTCCCATTGGATAGCATCTATCCTTGCTTTAAAAACATGTAATGGAACCAAACTGCTCAACTTCCATTCCTCTTGCAGACTGTTCCAAGTTGGACTTGGTTGCACTCCCCTAGTTCTACTTGACTACCTTTCAGAAGCAAATCATGCTTTTAACTCCACTATTTAACACTCAGTGACTAGGTACTGTGTGCATATACAAACACATGCTATTCTGATATGATATATTGCAGTACTTCTTATCTACACAGTATTTAAAGTATTTACATTTGCTCCACTTCGACAAACGACCATACTAAAAGGCCCTTACATGTATACGAACAGGCTCATTTAACCATGAATGCTGTTTATTATTCAAAGAAAGTGTAATGATATCTGATAAAAGGAGCATTACTAAGACCCTTACCTTACCTAGCTAGTGGGAAGAGGTTGGGGAAGTATTTCATCTCCTAAGTATTTAAACATTACCTAAGATGTAATGGTTTCCTTTAATTAAATCAGGACTAAATGCACAGACTTCTAGTGAACTTTGACAAAGGAATTAGACCAGATCAAATGATATTTCTCACCTGCCCATGCGGGGGGGATGGTGGGAGGAGGGGAAGGTGTTGGTGGGAGCGTTGGAGCTGGAGTGGGCTTCACCACTGCAGGAAAAAAAAACATTTACAACAACATACGTGAGATCAATAAATACAGAACAACAGTAAACAGTGTGTGGGGGTGAAGTCATTGTTTGGATGTGAGGGGGGGGGGTAACTTCATATCACACACACACATCAAATGTCATGTCCATGACTTAGCTAGTAACTGCGATCAGGTTTGTCTTTTAAAAGTTTAGCGTGGTTTTAGTGTCTGTTTTTCTATCAGAGATGTAGAGGCTGCAGGTTAATGTTCAATTAAGCCTCTTATTGCAGAAATATATCATATCATATTTTATATAATAAGAAAGAATAACAGCAAAAGTACAATGAAGTAAAAATAATCTGCAATATGTGTTTGCATTTTATATTAAAACTAATGCTGTCAAAATTATCGCGTTAACGGCGGTAATTACTTTTTTTAATT